CCTCGGTAAGAAAAAAACAAGTCGTGGATAGCTTCACTTTAATTCAGGCTAGGTTTCTGTCACCAAATGAGTTTTGGTGGCAGATGGATGAAAACTGACTCCCAGAGTGGTTTTAAATTTCAGAATTGTGTGTAAGGGAGTTGGGCCCACCGCTCATGACAGGAATGACAATCAACGGCATCCACCGAGTGCTCACCGTGTCCAAGTGTTCTAAACATGTACTGTGTCAGGTGATCTCCAAACGCACCTGTCAGAGCATGGGCACTTGGAACACATGTAATCCTAGAACATCAACATAGGCCAGGGGAGTCACAATCTGTAGCAAGAACACAGCTATGAGAGCTAGCTACGCTGCCGGGGATACAATCCCTGTTCTACCCTCACACAGCCGTGTAACTTCAGCAGGTGACTCGATTTCTCTGTGCCCAGTTCCTCTCTGGGAAATGAGGTAACGTCAGTGACTCGCCTCACAGAGCTGTTGGGAGGGCCGGATGGGTTACTTGGTGAAAAGTGCCTGGCCCACAGCAAGCATTGCTATTATTCTAGTCTCACACATGGGCTAATGGAGCCTCAGGAAAGTTCAGCAACTTAAGACACAGCTAAGTGTGGAGCTGGGACTTGAGCTCAGGCAATCCAATTGCAGAGCCCTCCTTCTATGATATGTGTTGTGCTACAACAACTAGTCAAGAAACAAGTAGCTACTAATGTAGAGAGAGATGAAATTTAAAGACTAGTTGCCGTTTGGGGAATGCTAGGCTCTTCAGACAAGGATATCTCAGTAATATCAAGGTATCATAGGCAGCTAAGTTAGACAGAAACTAATATACTGTCAGAGAGGGTCTGGGCTCCCAAGGGAGTCAACACAAAAATAAAGACGTCAGAACCATGGCTGGAGGCGCATCTGAAGAAAGCCAGGCCTCAAGATAAAGACGCAATGGCCAGGCCCCCACGCCTCCCTAAGGGATAAACAAAGGGCAACTTGAGAGTATGCTGTAATCAGCACCACCAGGTCCAGGGAGCCCAGACACAGAGCATCCGGACCCATTCCTTCCCCAAATGCCTTTGTCCTTTCCAGATATCCCTGCTCTGGGGCTTGATCCTCCTGGATCAATATTAGATCAGCAGCTACACTTGTAATCCTATTGGTCAATGGCAGTTTGACCCATGTTGTACCCACATTGTGGCTCTGCTGCATAAATTACCTCTGACAGGGGGGTCCTTTGCCTCCCCATTTGAGACCCTTCCTGGTAACCCAGGAGCTATTCTTCTCCCCTTCTTTTCTTTTTTTGGGGCGGGGGTTGAGACAGGGTCTCACTATGTAGTTGAGACTGACCTGGAACTCACTATGTAGCCCAGGCTGGTCTCAAACTCACAGTGATCCTCCTGCCTCAGCCTCCCGAGTGCTGGGATTACAGGTGTGCACTACCACGCCCAGCTTCTCCCCTTATTTTCAATAAAACTCTAATTCCTTCCTTTGGTTCACGACTTCGTTCCTTCACATCGTGGGACCACAAACTGGACACATTTGGCATCTAACAGGTGGAAAGTTGTGTTTCTCCTGTATCAAAGGCACAAGCGATAGCCATTTGACTACTGGCCAACTATCTCCCTAGGTCCCACTGACCAAATAACTAGCCTATTTCTCAATCATTTCTTCATTTCGGATCTAATCGGCTTGCTGCTCACCACCTTGTTTCCCGCTGGCAAACTCACCGTCAGGGCCCTGGCGTGCTGCGGCGTGCAGCGCGGTGTCCCCATGGCGGTCCTGGTGGGCAGGGTCAGCTCCGAGACGAAGCAGCAGGCACAAGGCAGGGGCGT